GATATCTTATGCGGAAGCAAGAACGGAACGTCCAAAAAATAAAGGATTCGATTCGCGGAATTCGGAATATAGACCTAATCTAACAAGGAAAATAAATCTTAACTTATCCATTCTAAGGAAATAACCAAATAAACTAAATTTAGTCCAAATCGGACTCTAAATAGCAAGAAATAAATTGTTCAATAATAAAATACGAAAATAAATAGTAATCATCTTTTCCAAGTCACGTCTTCTCGGCTGGATGACTAGACGGGCTCAAGTCCTTGAGCTCGGCTTGCTTCACAATCTGGCCCGATAATTTGCTCCAATTAAGATCAGTTGGGATCAAACTAGACTTCGTCAATTCTTCCTTTCGGAGCTCGTGTTTACTAAGCTAAGCATGGCTGCTTCAATGCGTTCTTGGGTGTTGGCCATTCACGAATAGCTTTAACCTTTTCCGCATCCACTTCAACGCCCCTAGAACTCACAACAAAACCAAGGAAAACTATCATACCTAGGCAAAAATCACACTTCTTTAAATTAGCATACAATTGTTCTCACTGTAAGGACTCTAAGACACCTCAAATGCTCAACATGATCATGCAAATGATTGCTATGTACTAAAATATCATCAAAGTAAACCACAACAATTTTTCCTATGTAAGATCGCATAACATGATTCATAAGTCGCATAAACGTACTTGGTGCATTAGTTAAACCAGAAGGCATCACTAACTATTCATACAATCCATGCTTGTTTTAAATGCAGTTTTCCACTCATCTCCATCTTTCATGCGAATTTGGTGATAACCACTTTTCAAATCAATTTTAGAAAATATAATGGAACCATGTAGTTCATCTAACATGTCATCTAATTGAGGAATGGGGTGTCCATACTTTACCGTAATTTTGTTGATGGCTCGACAATCAACACACATTCTCTAACTCCCATCCTTCTTCGGTACTAGTAAAATAGGCACTGCACAAGGACTCATGCTTTCTCGAACATGTCCTTTAGCTAACAGGTCGTCCACTTGCCGTTGTAACTCCTTCGTCTCCTGGGGACTACTTCGGTAAGCTGGTCTATTTGGAATTTGGGACCCTGGAATAAAATCAATTTGGTGCTCGATCCCTCGAATTGGTGGCAACCCCGTTGGCATCTCGTCCGGAAAGACATCATCGAACTCCTGCAAAAGATAAATAACAATACTAGGCAAAAAAGAACTAAGGTTAGCATTAGAAAAATAGGACTCCCTAAACACTAACAACATCATTGTTCTCTCACCCTTACATGCACTCTTAATCTTTCTTTCTTTTGCATAAAAGCTCACTTTTCTCTCATCTCTCTTTATTAAGTTTGGACTCTCTTCTTTTTCTTTTCTCACTTCGGCTAAACTCTCTTGTTTTACCTCTCCACTACTACTAACACGTTCATTCTCATTTTGTTTTGAACTTGGAGCAACAGACTTCTTGATCTGATTTTGCACCTCAAACACCAGGCGAGGTGGTAAAGGTGCAAGTGTGATTCGCCTGCCATCCTTAGTAAATTGCCAAGGTCGCCCAAGTAAGATATGACTTGCTTGCATGGGCACAACATCGCACATCACCTCATCTTTATATTGTCCAATACTAATGGAAATCAATACTTGTTTCGTCACTCTCAACCCGCCACTTTCATTCAGCCACTGAAGTTTGTAAGGTCTCGGATGTTTGTGACTTGCAGCCCTAGCTTGTCTAACATTAGCTTGTTCGCTACATTCACACAACTTCTTCAATCAATTATCAATCCACATACTCGGTTTTCAACGTGGCAGCGTGTATAGAAGATGTTTTCTCGCTGTATTACGTCACCATCTTCTTCAGCTTACACGTGGAGACTTTGAAGTACAACAAGTGTGAATCCATCAACAACTTGTATACCGCGTCACCTTCTTTAGGTGTTGTTTTTTTTAATTTGACTCTTCCTCATCCTCGGACTCCAGCTCGCAGTTCTCCAATAAAATCATTAGCTCGCCGGTTAGGGCACTCCGTGGAGATATGACCTGTTCCATGGCATCTATAGCATTTCATATCACGTGTTCGTTGTGGTTGTGAGGATGTATTACCTCTCTCAGGTTGTGCTCAATTGATTGGATGTTCATTGGAAGGTTTCGTTGTTGATTTCTCCTCGGGTTTCGAAGTAGGATTCCATCGCGGTTTCCAGCTTGATGCCTCGGCCCGAGCTGTTGTTCTCGCTCCTCGCTTAAGCTGCCTCTCAACTTTCATGGCCATATGAACGACCTCCTCAATCTCAACGTAGTGCTGCAACTCCACTACATTAGCGATATCCCGGTTCAGCCCGCAAATAAATCTTGCCATCGTGGCCTCTCGATCCTCCTCAATATTGGCTTGAATGATTGCAATCTCCATCTCCTTATAGTACTCCTTGATTGATTTAGTACATTTCTTCAAGCTTTGCAATTTTAGTTGTAAGTCTCTATAATAATGTGAGGGCACGAACCTCCGTCTCATAAGTGCCTTCATAGACTCCCAATCAAGAATTGGAGGTTCGCCTGTTCTGCGTCTAGTCACTACCAATTGATCCCACCAAATGATAGCATAATCGGTGAACGCTACAACTACAAGCTTCACCTTATTTTCCTCGGAATAATTGTGGCAATCGAAAACGAGTTCAACCTGTCTTTCCCATTCTATGTATGCCTCGGGATCACTCTTCCCTTGGAAAGACGGTATACTCAATTTGATCGAGCTGAGGTTTCGATCAACTTCATCTCTTTCTCGTCCCACATTACCTCGCCTCGGTTTGTCAAATCTGTCACCTCTGTTCCCTCGTCCTCTACGCCATCGTCTAGAAGTATTAGACTCTGCCTCAGATTCTTCATCGAAGACTTATTCATCGAACTCCAATTCGTCGCTTTGGCGTACAACAGGTTGACGAATCGGTTGCCGCAGTTGTGGCGCCGGTGCTGGTCTTACCCTACTCAACTCATCGATTTTGATTTTGCATCCTTTGAAGGGTTATATGCAGACGTTGGAAGTGCTGATCCGTGGCTCCGTCCTTTTCATCCCCACTACCATTCATTTACATGCTGTTCGAACTGCAAAAGATTGCTAAAGAAAAAAAAAATTCCTCACCACTCCCTCACGTGTATCACTCAAGATGATGTTCACTCAATTCACTCGTGTTTCACACAATTCGGCTTTTACCCTCTTTTGATCTCACACTCTCTTGCCTTTTTTCACTCGTAAACTCCCTTCAAAGTTTTAAAGAAACTAATCGAGAATTTTTATAAAGTCAAATTTCGTTTTTATTCAAAGCTAAATAGTATTTGATTAATTCAGAATTTATTTGGAGGAAAATAAAAGAGGAATTTGAATTTATGATAAAGGAAACAAAAAGGGATAGGAAACAAAGAAACAACGTGGAATTCAATTAGAAGAAAGGTAGACAAGGAAACGAGATATTCAAGGAGTTGCCCAAGTCTATTAAAACTTGATTTGTGTTGCTCAAATCTATTAAAACTCCTAACAAGGAATTTTCCTTGGTTAGATTTCGAATTTTGCTTCTTCTTCTTCTTCTTTTTTTTTTTTCTTTTTGTTGTATCCGGTTTTTCTAAGATATTTCTGATTGTTTTTTTATTCTTAATTTTTTGGGACTATTCGTGAGAACCCCCTCTAACATTATTTTAATAAGGATGGATCCAACCCCTTTTCCTTTATTAGTGAGAAACCCAACTTTTTTTTATTCTCAAATTTACCCTCCCACCATTCGTTACACATTATCCCCTAGTTTGATGTATTTTTTATTTTAATTTTAATTTTCGTTTTTTTTATTTATTTCTTCTTTAAAAAATAATTTTTTTAAAAAAAAAATATTTTTTTTTAATTTTTTAATATTTTTCTTTAAATATTCGTTTTTTCTATATTTTTTTTAGTTTTCTGTTAAAACAACTATATGTCAATAAAACAGCTATTATTCAAAACAACTATATGTCAATAAAACAACTATTATTAAAAACAACTATATGTCAATAAAACAACTATTATTAAAAACAACTGTTATTAAAACAATTGGTATTAAAACAATGATACCATCAGTTTCACAATTTATTAAATTATTTATATATTTTATATTTTCCATTGTAAGATTAAGTAATTATTTAATCAAAACATCTCCAACAACTATTTCTTAAATCAACTATTTATTGAAACCAACTAAAAAGTAATGAAAACAACAATATTATTGTGGGAAAACAACTATATTGAATCAACAAAAACAAAAACAAAAAAACACACCAAAATTCCAACAAAAACGACTATTATTGAAACCAACTACAACTGTAACGAAAACAACTATATCTTTTTTAGTAACACGAACACAATTTCAACAAACGAGCCTCCCAAACAATACCTCCTCCTCGAGGTCAATCTATTCCATTACAGCGGTCTTCCGACGAGGAATGCAGGAATGCTTCCAAAAATTGAAGAACAAAAAATCCCTATAGAAATCAAGAAACAAAATTAAAAATCTAAGGAAAGATATACAACTAGTCATAGAAATACATGAGCTCCTAAAAAATTAGCCATCGGCTGTTCGACATCAAACCCTAACAACAAAACCAAGAAAAATGGAACAATAACAAATGGCATCAAAAAATAAAAGGTCAAAATAAAAAATAATAGAAAAAAAACAAGAATCTATGGTGGGGATAAAATGGATGGGGATCAAATCCAACTGAGCACATAAAACTTTTTCCAAATTGTTGAATTTGCAAAGAGAAATTAGAGAGATGGGTATAGAAAAAGGAACGAAAATTGATTTCAGGGGGAAATATCAAATAAATTCCACATGGAGAAGTGGAGAAAGATGAGACCTGCAAGTACCATGGTACCTGTGACGAAGTGGGACGACATTGGTGACGACGGCGGCACGAAGGTGGAGAGGCGAGGCGAGATCTGTGCAAAGAAGAGAGAACACCAAAAGAGACGATTAATTTTTAGGGTTTTAGATGGAAAAATTAAATTATATATTATTGATAAAAGGGTAAATTAGAGAAATTATTTTAAATTTTAATAAATATTTATTTAATTAACTAATTAAGGGGGGTCTCACTAATATTGAAAAGGGGGTTATATCCACCTTAATATAAGTAAATGAGTTGGGGGGTTTTCACTAATAATCCCTAATTTTTTTTACTAACAAACCCTAACGTGGGCTGGAAGTAACTTTAAAGAAAAGCAAAATTTGATTTTTTTTTTTTTTGACGAAGACTCTAGACAACACAATTCATGAAAATATGAGATAGAGAAGACACGAAAAATCAAAGAACGAAAACAAAACAAAACAAAACAAAGACATAAAAAAAATGATAGGTGAAACCTTTTTTTGAAATTGGCTCTGGTTACCAACTGATACGAACCCCGTAGAACTTGTTACGGGACCCAATAATCTTATGCGGAAGCAAGAACGGAACTTCCAAAAAATAAAGGATTCAATTGGCGGAATTCGGAATATTGACCCCGTAGCTATTGAGAGCTAGAAACCAATATTATCAAGGTGGAAGTATTGACCCCGTGATTATAATGAATCAGAAACCAATACTATATTGCTAAGAATAATCCACAAGAATCCACTCGCAAAATATCCCGAAGAGTTGTTGAAGAACAACGAAGGAGAATTTTAATCTCTCAAAATAATACTTAAAAAAACATCCAAATAATAGTGACCCTAAAACAACCTATTTATAAGTGTCAAAGAGACCTAATCTGACAAGGAAAATAAATCTTAGCTTATCTATTCTAAGGAAATAACCAAATAAACTAAATTTAGTCCAAATCGGACTCTAAATAGCAAGAAATAAATTTTTCGATAATAAAATACGGAAATAAATAGTAATCATCTTTTCCAAGTCACGTCTTCTCGGCTGGATGACTAGACGGGCTCAAGTCCTTGAGCTCGGCTTGCTTCACAATCTGACCCGATAATTCGCTTGAATTAAGCTCAACTGGGATTGAACTAGACCTCATCAATTCTTCCTTTTGGAGCTCGTGTTCTACTAAGCTAAGCATGGCTGCTTCAATGTGCTTTGCCCGAGCTCGCGTAATCGGTCCTCTTGGCACATGCAGCTCGCCCAAGTCATCAACTCCTTCATCCAACTCGGCACTACCTCACGTAATTGGCTGGATTGTATCAACCCATCTCCTATTAGTAATGACTAATCTCTTTCTCTCTCCTTTTATTACCACCACCATAACATCCCCACCACCATTCATACCCAAGCATATGAAGAGTTCTCTCTCTCTCTCTCTCCTCTTATTCTCTCGGCCAAAACAAACACCACCATAATCCACCAAGAAAATATTATCCATATTTCCATCTTTCCACTACAATTATTTCAAGTTCTATTTTCATCTCAAATCCGCTCCATAGCCATATCTCTAGAGTTCTTCCAAGAACTCCATAAAAATCCACATCTCCATAATAGTGGAATTTCTTGAAGCCTTCTTGAGTCTTTTTATTTTCTATTCCATAAAGGTAAGAAATTTCAATTTCTTGCTGCAATTAGAAGGTATCAATATTAGTAAAAAGGGTTTTCAAGGTTATCTAAAAGACTCAAAAGATTTTCGAAAATTAGGGCTTTTTGGGGAAAAATGAAAAAGTTGTGTTGATCTTTGATTTCTTGTTCTTGCATGTCTTTTTTATGTTTATAATAAGTAGATAAAAGTTTTATTTGGTTAAGTTCTTGAAGATTTCGGATTTGTCAAGGTTTTTGCAAGAAAAATGGATTTTTGAACTTCTAGTGGGTTGCATGTATAAATCTAGAAATTTTGGGGCCAAATCTGCAATTTTTCACACGATCAGCTCTAGTTAAGTTTTCAACTCTGTTTTCCATTAATTACTAAGTAAGGATTTCGGATTTTCGAAAGGGTTTCTAAAAAAATGAATTTTTGAACTTCTAGTGGGTTGCATGTGTAAACATAATCTAGAAACTATTGGGTCAAATCTGTAATTTTTTTAAAGTTCAGCTCCAAGTTAGTTTTAAACATTGTTTTTTCCAGGAAGTATTAAGTGGTAAATAATTTTATTTGGGAAAGATTCATTATTTATTTGAATCTATGAAAGAAATCAACTTTTTAGTCAAGAAAAGCATTTGTTAGATTTTTATTTATCAAAAAACTCACAAAATTTTAAAACTGTAAAATAATTTCAGAATCTTGAAACTTGATCAGTTAAGAGTTTTATAATTTATTTTTAGAGTTTTTGGAAGTCCTTTACTATTATTTCAAAATTTAATGTGTATGTGCTATTTATGATGTTCTTGTGATTTAATTGTTACTTCTTGGCATGGTGTGCTATAATGATGAATCGTGGAATTATACACTTTAATTTACAGCAGGAACATGTTTAATATGGTGTTGGAATTTATTGAGGTGAGTTAAATGTCTAAAAGTGACAAGAAACTCATTTAAAATTTGAAAAGAAATGCCTTTGTTTTACAAGCATGATTTGGCTAATTAATATATGTGTTGATGATGATGGTTGCATGGTATGTGTGTGTGTATGTGTTGGTCGAAAACCTACACGCAAGTGCACGTATCGTACAAGTAATATAGTGGACAATTAAGTCCGGATATCGAACCCACAGGGAATATTTAATTATCTAATCCTAGACGCTAAATTATACCAATTATTATCAAGCCCACCCTACACAGTCGAAAAAGGATTAATAAACTAAATTAAACTAAAGCATTTAAAAAGACAAAAACAAGAAAACAATTGAAAAACGAAGGTTTAATCAGAGTAAACAAGCCTAGGATTTTATTCTTCCCCCTATGTGATTATTATTCCCCCAATTCCTTCAATTATGCAAGCAATTAACCCGGATTATTAACCTGAGATGCTAAAATAATCGTAACCCGCTTCCGCGTGTATTACGATTCTAATACTCTAGATTCAATTACTATATTCCTATGCAATTAATTCTAGAACACAGCATTAAGCACAAATCTCAATAATGGCTACCTAAGAGATTAACTATATTCCTATGTTAATACCACAAAGGCTCTTCTACCACAGTTCTAATTATTAACCCGATCTTCCGATTCATGCGATTAACAATAACATAAAAGCACATAAGTTGATCAAGTTCATGCACTTAATAAAACAAGTAGAAGAAATAATCCGGAATTAAAACTTGCATAAAATCATAGAAAAGGGTTCATAAATCCCACATAGGGTTCCAAATAAAATCCTAGAAACAAGTAATTTAGCTACTCATGATTAAAGGAAAAACGCAAATAAAATAAATCATAAACGATAAATATATGCTTGAAGTCTTCGAATTCTTCGTCTTCGTTATTGCTTTGTTGCTCTTGAAATTGCGTAAAAAAAGATCCCTAATTGTGTGCTTGGCTTGGTCTTATATAGGGTGAAGAACTTGGGGAAGAAGGCAGTTTCCTTGTGCAATTAAAATCCCTTTACTACGCAATTTCGGAATCTCGGACGGGGGTCCCATAATTTGAACTAAAACTGGGACGGGGGTCTCAGCTTTAAATCTTCAGAATTTTGATATTTTCACTTTTGACCCATATTTTCGCCAAAATTGCAGTTTTGACCCCATACTTTTCCAATTCTTCAATTTGTACCTAAAATACAATAAATCAACTTTTTAAGCATTAATTATCGTTAAAACACACCAAAAGCTCAAATAAAAAGATACGATAAAGTGTAAAAATATACACTTAACAGTATGGTGTTTATAGGTACGTGCACCGCGTGTGTGCAGTGTGTGTGATTGAGTTACATGAATGGTTATTTAATTAGTCTATATGATGATAAGTGAATTATAGATGCTTATGCAGTTATGCGATAATTGTGATGTTTAAGTGTTAATTACACGAGGTGTCCATTTAGGAAGTCTAGCATTCATGTACTTCGCGAGCTTTTGAAAGTTTGAAAAATTAACGAAATACTTGGCTAAATAAACAACGGATACGGTGGACCGGTATCCAACTAGGTTAAGAAGGGTGGTTTGAATCCACCAAGAACGGGCTCGAAACGGTTTATTGTTCGAGTATGGAAATTAATTTTTCACGAATCCGATAAAACGAAAAAGATTTTTTAACACAATTTTCATGCAAGGGCATTTTAGGCATTTTTGCATAACAATGTGTTTTACGTGAAAATAATGTGGTGTGTGACTTGTGTGCTTATTCGAATATTGAGTTGTGCTTGGATGATGATATATGTATATATATATATATATATATATATATATATATATATATATATATATATATATATATATATATATATATATATATATATATATATATATATATATATATATATATGTTTCACCTCTGCTTTCTCATGATCACAGTGTGCAACTGAGTCAAAATGTACATCTATCTATCAATCTCTCCAGCTCTGCTTTTCGTCTAACTGTTTCGATCACA